ATAGGATAAGAGAACCTTTGTGCCCGTTCGAAATACCGTCCAGGCCATGGCAGCGAGTACATTCAGATGTGATCGGCCCTCTACCGCTGACATTGGATGGAAACAAGTACATTATTGTTTTCATAGACTCCTTCTCCAAATATATCGTCGCGGAACCAATACCTGATCAAAAGGCCCACACCACGTCACGCATCTTTATCACCCGCCTTTTAGCCAGGTTTGGACTACCACAAATATTGGTGACAGATCAAGGATCGAATTACATGAGCGAGACCTTCCGTACCCTTCTACAGAATTTACATGTCCAACATCGCACAAGTACCCCATACCACCATCAATCAAATGGACAAGTGGAACGCGTTAACCGCACATTAGAAGAACAAATCGCTATTGCTACTCGTCAACATAGTGATGAATGGGATTACGTTCTTCATCTTGTGGTTCACGCTTGCAACAGTGCGGAAAACGCCTCAACCAAATTTACGCCATTTTTCCTTATCCACGGCTGCGACCCCACAAATATCTTCCACCTAGCGCTTCAGTTACCAACGAAGAAATATGTGGATACAGAAGATTATGTGGGCAATCTTGTCAAAATTCTGAAGGATACGTACCAAAATGTCTATTCGAACTTGATAAAGGCACAGGATCAACAGAAACGTCAATACGATCTGAGAGCAAGGACCCCAAAGACACAATATCAGATAGGAAAGAAAGTTTGGATAAGGAAAGATGCTGGACATAAACTTGCGACACGATTCGAAGGACCTTTTCCAATTATTGCTGTTGATCTACCTAACATTACCATTTTGGACGGCAAGCGCAAAAGGATTACTCATTCGATCGGACGAAAGTACATAAATAAGACCTTTTCAGAGCAAGAGAAGAAGACAGAAGATAAAAGAAGAAGAGAAAGAAAAAGAGAAAAAAACAAAAATTTTTCCCAACAACTATATCCATTTCTTTCTTTGTAATGTTGTAGAAGAAAATTGCTATTCTTTTCATCTGATACGATAAGCATATTTCCACTCTTTTTGTATCATGACAATATTATGGAAATCACAGATTTGTAAAGTTTTTGTATCATTAGTAATGTTAGTAACATTATCCTATAAGATGGAAGCAAGGAGAACTGAGACACACCATGTATCGCTGCTACTCCTCAGGAAGTGAACCAAGATGTACGACCCAACTTTGGCAAGGCATTAATGTATTGGCAAACATTGGCAGATCCACTGGACAATACCAGGACTGTAATGGCCAGACAGTCTCGGTTTAATGGTAAAGTCAATAACCAAAGAAATATCGACGATTATCCCGACGTCTACGGCAAGAAACAACCTAAGCTACTGCTGTCTCCAATTGGAATTCAGCCCCAAGATTGAATGACGGAGCATTTAGAGGCTCCTCGTAATTCCAGACTCCGTTTTTCAAGACATCGCAAGGCATTGTCCACATTCAGGCAGACCCTTTTCCCCTTAGTTAGAAGTAGTTTGATGTATTGGATATGATGACCGGTCTAAAGATAATGGTTGCGCAAGACGACCCGTATGCGGAATATGGACCATGTACAAGGCAAATGGCACTTTATTAGTTAGTTAGGATTTGGAACTCGCGTCAAGACACCGGCCGCGCAACCATTCCATTTGCCTTGGGCGCGAGCCGCATTGGACATGTATACAGTAGTGATGTGTGCACACAAAATGGAAAAGGATTTATTCAATTATGTGAATACGAAGTATCGCCGATCAATTGATGCAGAAGATCCATCAAGAGAAGAAGCCTTTGACAACTCTCGATGCCCCTGAAAGGAACACCAACAAACAAACGCCGATTACCTTTGGAGTCACAATTCTCTAATATTCAGGTTGCGGGACGCAACCTTTCGATCCCTCGTAGATGTAACGTGCCTTGTCGAATATTCCGCGCATGTGCGAACAGCGGACTCTATGTTTACATAACGAGTGAGTAAGCAAACATTGCAACAGCGAAGCGATCGAACATGACGAAAACGAACTAGCAGAACAAGAGAAAGAAATTCATGGAAACTATCGAAGGATAATGGACCCGTTAGGAAGTTTGTGTATTTTCCATTAGGTAAGGTTAACCTGAACCCCATTTTTATTATATGTTTTATGTGACTATGTATGTTTGTATCCATTAGTGAAATATATATAAGAGACCGTAGGAAGCCTTCGGTGTGCATTCGTACCTTTTCTTATTCTTATTCAATGTAGTTTCTCAACTTCCTTTTCGAACTCTCTTACTCATGTCTTGTAATTTTGCAAGTAGCGACCGCACCTTTATTTATTCATATCGGCCGTCATGATTCACCGCCGCTGGCCGACGGCTCACTATGATCCTTTGTAGTTTAGTTGTCTTAATTTGAAAGGTCACTTGTTTCGTCCTATTGCATGATCATCTCCTTGCTAATAAATAGTTGTTGGGAATTGGTTTTGTTAAGGCCGGCGAACATCGAATATCTCACACACGATATTTTCATCAGTTTTAGCATTAGCTGCTCTGCGAAACTATGCCGAGCCTTACAAGTTCACATAAGTTTGGACCTTTTTAATTTGGACGATTAGAACGGTCAAAAATCCATCATACAGTGAAGAAAGCGAATCAAACCACTGCCTCTCCTCTTTTTTCGAGCCAAAAGTACTATAGTTTTACATGTTGATAGATATCGCGCTCCAATCACATGCGGTTTCTTTTGAACTATGTGGCGAAAGATGCATCACCGGATGGTTGAGGCCACAGATTTGGTTGGCCTAGGAAATTTTCGACAATTCGAGCACTAGAATGGTACTTTACCCAATGGCAGAGCCTTTAATCGACTCGAAATGTTTTCTTTTTGCTTTTTTGTTATACTAGATAATTCAAAATGCGTTTTTTCGCTTTTTAATTGCTATTTTGGTTGAATAAGGGTTTACTACTGATTTTTACGTCAAGAAGGACTTCGTAAATTTTCGCGAACGCATGGGGGACTTCGCTTCCAAATTAGCTCCAAACCAACGCATGCCGGGCCCTGATTGTAGCCATCACAAGAAGAAATTTCTAGCTTGAAGATTGCAGAAAAAACTTTTTTGAAAGCCTCTATTTTGAGAGAGCAAAACTTACTCAAACAAAGTAGAATAAAGCGTGACCCGCTTGCGCAGTCAAGGGCTGTTGAGCAGTGATGCCGAGCTTATTTTAAAGAGTTTTTTGAGGGAGAATATTGGTACTCACTTCTTTTTGGCATCTACATAGATTGATTAAACATCAAAATAGAGCTCTTAGAAGAAGAGGTAAGAAGTACGTGCATTGATTATGAATCAACCTATTAAATCAAAAATTGTTCACTTTATGCCTATTTGTGGTATGTCTGAAAGTCCAAATTATGATGGAATTGCACTAAATAGACATGTTCTTCTGCAAAAATTCTAGGTAGGATGTCCTAATTTCAAGCTTACAAAATTGAACGCAACTTTAACGATTGCCTTAACCGTAAGAAACCGGCGTATAGAATGCCAGCAGCGAGTATTTATTTTGAGACATCGATTTTTCAGTCCAAATATTTTTGAAAAATCTGCTCCGCAGTAATGGGTAAGCGATTTTCATCCCATAAAGTAGTTATGCTTTTGAAAGGGTTTGTTCTTCCGCGCCTGAATTGTGGCCAAGGGAGTGAAGGCAATGAAATTTCGATTTTGAGTTGTGGCTGTGCAAAATGCTGGTGAAATTCTCACAGATGAGGACGGACGCCTAATTGCACTACTGTTAGAAAGTGTCTTTGAATAAATTTTCCCAATAATAAGCAAAATCTAGTCGAAAAAGAAAGTCTGGTGGAAAAAAGCTGGGAAGATAGATCTAGAAAATAGGACATCATTTTTGCAACAGCCTAATATTTTTGAACGCAAAAAATAATCATGCGTTTAGTCGATCTACTAAAAGCTCAAGCTGTATTATATTAAACCGCTTGCTTACAGATAGTGAGAGCCATTTTTACTCAATGGCTCAACATTTGCATGAAATATTTGCCATTTTCAGGTTGCTTGTCATCAATAAGCTTTGATAGGCAAGAAATTATCTTCATAAATTTTTTTCGTATGTTTATTGATTCGTTGTGAAACAATAAAATAATCAACACTTATCATGAAAACGCTGCCACGATAAAAGTGTGATGTAGCTTCGGTCGTTGCAGCCTGAAAACAGTTTGGAAGAATTGTTGTTTGCAAGCAAAAGGTTTTTTCCTGCTCATATGTTGAAGACAGGCGACACAAGAGCAGGTAAAAAAACTACTTCCTGCGCTTGTGATCTGCCTGCTTTTGATCTATACTTTGTTGCAGCAAAATTCCTCTTTGCAATGATAAACGTATGGGAACTCACCACACATATAATGTGTGTTTTAACCGATTAACTTTTTGAAAAAAACTTCTTGAGAGCGCCCTGTCAGATAAGCAATATATTGAATACTGAAATAATAAATGGACACTGATGGTTACCTTCATTTTCTTGCCCGCACTGCCAAACGCTTTCATTGCCTTCGTGGCTGCTTGCTTGAACTTTCGTGTGGTCTTTCCTGCTTTGCTCTTTTCTGTAGTCTCCTTCTTCTTTGATACCTTCTTCTTTGACTGCTTCTTCTCATTTTCTTCCTTTTTCTGCTTCTTCAATGGGATTTCATCCCCCTTGTATTTTATTGCGCCTTTTCTCTCGAGTAGGTTTCTCCTTCTTGGAGCAGGATTTCTTCTACTCTGTTTAGCCAGTACCACAGGTTTAGACGGTTTAGCTGCCTTCTCTTCTACTTCTTCAACTTCTTCGGGTTCATTGACTTCCTAATAGTGACGATTTATTTACTTGTACTTATTTCAGTGCAACTTCCACAGCAGGGCTACTGTAGATTTTTTTCAATTATTTTGTCAGGCTGGATATACAGGCTGAAGGTGATTTCTTTACTTTTCTGTCGCTCTCCCGCAGTTGGGATAATTAGCGATTGCTCTAGCAGAAAAGTGAGAGAAGTCTTATATTGACTTTCCAGGATCTTGATCCAAATGATAAAGGTTCATACTAACCTCATCTAGTTCCTCCTCCTCCGCAGGTTCTTCTTGTACCTAAATTGCATATAGATTTTTCAAATTTCTATCTAAATATTAATGCTTTGCGAATGTACTTTGCTAACTAACTCACCTCCTCCTCTTCTTCCTCTGCAGGAAGTTCTTCAGCGTTAAGCCCCTGAATGTAATTTACCTATCTTTCTTTAGATTCTTCAGAAGCACAGCCAGTCAAAATCATTTTGTCACCGTTCGTACTTACTGCCTCAGATGATACTTCCTCCTCTGCTTCGGGTTCCGAAGTTTCCTTTGCTGTGTCGACTTCCTCAAGTTCACTCTCCTCAGCCGTGGTTTCTTCAACTAACTCCTCCTCAGTGTGTTCATCCTCTGTCTAAAGTTAACTGAACTGGCCGACTAATTTTGAATCGAAGTTTTTGGCAGCTATTCAAGCTCGTGTAATCATATATCTAAACGTGTTTCAAGCATTATTTGTGAGAATCAGCTTACCGGAACCTCAACATGGGCACCACTAGCATGAAGATCCTCTTCTTGATCCTAAACGCAAATATCCCACTTTCGATCGAAAATTGGGATTGGCAAAATTATGATGGCATCGATTAATAACTTACCGGTGTCTCCTCCTTTTGTGAAATTCAAAAGCAGATAAAATCAATGTTTTAGCGCTTATCCTTTTCAAAATTCTACTTTTTGTAATACAAAGCTTCAAAACCTTTTATACTTGATTGCAAGTAAGTCTTTCAAATTCTAGGATTCTGAGCGCGCAATTTTGTCAATTAAAGATGTCATCATGCCATAAAATCCGATCCCACCTCGATTACGTCAGAATAGAGTTCCACGGCTGAAAAAGCAAAATGGGCACTTTTTATCTAAAAAAGAGAATGGTTGGTTTGAACATACGTGCAGGTTTAGCATGAACAGTTGCTAAGAGTAGCAATGCCTAAAAATGGTTGAACTTGAAGAAGAGTGGTGAAAGAAATTTGCCACAAACCGTTCCATAAATCAGGATTCTGAACATTTTTTTAGAATAAGTGATTTGAATATCGCTGATTCTGCCCATTTTTATAATACAAGCGTAGGTCATCTAGCTGGATCAACACAGACAATTATTATATGCCTAAAACAAAGTGTTATCTGATAGGACAACTAAGAAAACTGTGCACTCTTTGAGCTATGAGATCACTTGGGTTATTCATCTGTTTCTATTTGTACAAACCGTTTTATTCACTAATAAATTTATACAAGAAATTACGCTGAGGAAAAAAGTCATGCAGTCGCTATTCAGATTTAATTTCGAGCTAATAAAGACTTTTTTTGCACTCTAATCCACTCGTCCGCCCTAATACTAACCAAAATTCAAGCTTTTTTCGAATAACATTGCCTTGGAAAACCGAAATATTCCAAGGATAGGATCTTGCTGAAGAGATTGAGCACACCATGGTAAAGAAATGAAAAACGGCACAAAATAATCAGCCAAAGTAGAGCACACGTGTAATTTTAATTGTAATTATGATTTTAGAATTGTAATGGCGATAACCAATCAGGAAAGACGTTTGTACTAATCTGAAGGCCTCGGACACTTTTTAAACAATTACTTATCAGTCTCAGGCCTCCTCGCATATATGTTGAGGTATAGTCAACTTTCTGAATCTCCAAAATTTCAGTGTTTCAGAAATTGACGTCAAATCTGTTATAACGAACTAACATCAAATGTATAGTGCAAGTACCAGAAATCATTTTCACTAAACACGGGTCCTGCTTGCGTCAAAATCTATTCATTTGACTATCCTCTACCCCTCAATATTCAGATCTATAACCCTCTATAATATGCAGTTCTAGTAAGTGTTATATGGATAAAGATAATATAGTGGTCTTTTACAGTTATAATGAACTACACTGCCAAACTATTTCAGGCGATTCTAGTCTAGAGTAAGGAAGTAAGGACATGTTGTGTTTTACTCCATTTCAGAAAACAGCACGAAGTATTTTTTTTCTAGACACCGTAGCCGTCAAGACACCATCAGCAGGCGTTGCAGTTTCATATAGGACTACTCCGTCTGTGGAGGCACCTTCGTGAAAGGTGCGTTGCAAAAATACTAGATTTTGCCTTTTTGCCTATAGCCGATAGTCTGATACAAAGATCTTTTCGAGGACTATCATCCATGACGAAGGACGGATCGTGTGCGACAAAATCGGTTATCGCGATAAAGTATTTAGAGAAAGCCTAGGCACATAACCAGAAATGAACAGCCATTTTAAGGAAGTGATGGTTTTCTGTGGGACCTTACCGTACTCAAAGCAGCGCCAAGATGGCGCAAATCACAAGGAATTATGGCCCTTAAAAAAGTGAGTTCTTCATACTACTCCCCTTTCCTCTCCCTTATCAACTGTAGTTTCTCGTCTCTCAAAGCTTTTCAAAAATGATAGTGTACCAATATAGTCGTCCTCCCCTAGTAGACACTTGGTGGACGAACTTGAATTTGAACTAGAGCAAGCCGGTTGCGGCAGACCGCGGCACCTCACTTCAATCTCAAACAAATTCTTTTGTGTTTTCGCGACGTTTCAACCTAATTTTTGAATGCTGACAGTTTTCTTAATTCGTATTGAAACTGCTGCTTTAGCGATGGATCCTGCTGCTATGCTCGTTTCTTTGACTACGATTCCAGGTTGAGCTTAGAAAAACGACTGAGTTCAAAAACTGGTGGAATTCTTCTCAATAGGTCTTGAAGTGTCGCTTCATTGAACACTTCACGTCAAAAATTCTCCACGTGCCTTGGTTTTCAATATTTCCTGGAAACAGAGTTAAAAACCAGTATAGTAGTACGAAACATCGCTAAGTAACAAAAAACCCTTGAATGCTGATTATAATCGTCATTTTAAAAAATCACAATTCGACGACAATGAATTACAAAAGAGAAGTGTTTGAAATGCATTCGACGGCGTCGCACTCTGCAGCAGCTTGCGCTCTTGTTCAAATCCGGATTCGTCCACTAGGTGTCTAGTGGGGGGAGTACTACTGTAATAGCTCAAAACGCCTTTGTGAGTTTTTATGATTCTTCTGAATCTGAAACCAAGTGACTAGATGCTCTTTGAAACACACTCTATCACAAATAGCTTCAAAGTGGATATAATTGGTTGCTGAACAAAAAAAAGTTACTTACCTTTTTCAAGGTTGCTCTTTTTAATTTGCTTAAACCTCAAAAATGCTCATATGTTGTATAAATCGTCACCAGAGCATTCGAGCTTCATAGTTCAGCCATCCATCTCTATTTCATACTCGACACCGCTCCACCTCATGTCAGGAGATTTAAAAGGATTTCCCCGAGGACTTTGGGAGAACACTCTCAATGTCAACTCAGGAAGTTAATCCAAAGCCCTCGGAAACTTCTGCAAGTGAGTCTTCGAGAAGTCTCTGATGGGATTCCGAGGACTTCATTTGCAGTACTTCGCGTTGACTTTAGATGGAACTTTGTTTTGACGTACTCATGATGTTAGGTCGTTCCATAAGTTCCTAGAGTTTTCATAAACCAACAAAATCCTCAATTTTCAATAAAAATCAGCCAATAATGTATTCTTCAACGTAGCGCACGACCTTTCTGCTTTTTAACCTCAATTTGCCAAACGGCAGCGCGCCGGGTCCCAAGAAAGTCATCTAACCAGCGCCCAAATTACTCACTAAAATTGAAACATCTTTATAAGGTTTGCCAGAGAGCAGAACAAATGATATTCTGATAGATCGAGGTTTAAGGAGTATTTTATTAGTATAAAGGAGTAAGGACTGAAGTACCTCCTAGTCATTTCTTGCAGGACAGTTTTGAAGACGTTTGGCCAGATTTCGTCAGCAGAAAAATTCACTGAATCTGTCTTTTTGGCTTTTTCTGCGGTATGACCTCGTGTTGCAATTGGCTTGTATACGGCATGGTCGACCGTCTTCTTCTTGTCCAGCAATTTTTAGTGCAGGACGTCCTGCCCGTCCCCCGAAAAGTCTTGTTCAGGGACACCCTGCTCAGCCCTTCGTCTTTTGTAGTAATCCAAAAATTTTTCTTCTCATAGTGATTGGCGAGCGCCATGTTCCATAATAGGCAAGAATATGTGCAAAAACGCTTCTTTTTAGGAGAAAAAAATGCGCGAATGCCGAAATTGCACGTTTTTGCCCTTTAAGATTTCCATACTTTAAAGCCAAGAGATTTGAGTAGATCAGCTTTCCACTCGAGTTAGCGGGTACATATTGAAGAGCATAATTAGCCCTTTTTAATGATGGATGCATTTTGCCACATATCAGCCGCTCCCCAAAGAAGTGCGGACAACGAAAACCCTACGAATTTATGGAACGACCCAATAATAATTTTTTCTATCTCTCTAAAGTTGGATCCTTTGTTTCAGTTGACGCAAGTGAGCTCAGAGTAGGGGGTAAGAACGTCCTTTTGCTCTGTCGTTGCTTGTCGTTTCAGGACCAGTTGTCCGCGAAGGCGGTCCAAACTGGCGGCTTTCGTTCCCATACCCGTGAGCTCACACAATATTGCTCGTAATTTTGAAAAAAGACGCAAAGTCGCTCGACTTATGTGACATCACCGCAGCGTGGCCATTCCTAGCTTCAAAGTGGACGAATTCTTAATCCGATGGCGCCATTCGACTCAGCTCGGCGCGGCGCATCTTCTGATTTGTTGAAGAGACTGTTTGGATACAATAGGAAGCCAGATTCCACGAATCGTTTCAGACTTTTGCTTACGGTAGGTTGTTTAGTGTACTTATTCATTGCACCGCTAAGCAACCTGTCGTAAGCGAAAATTTGAAACGATTCATGGGATCCGGCCTCCTGTGTCCAAACAGACACTTTTGTGTATTAGGGTCGATAGTAAACTTGTCCAAATACGCAGCTCAAACTGAGAGGTAACTCAGAGTTAACTCTGTTAACGCGTACCTTTCAGGGCCATTAACACCTGCATAAAAAACCAATATGGAGAAAGGGTGTTACGGCTGGACACTTCGCAAGAGTAGTTTATACAAGTATGAGACACAGCGTAACTCATTCCGCGCGAGACGCTACGCGGCGAAACGCGCAGCTCAGCTGCGAGCTAACTCTGAGTTTGGTGCGCGTTTCAGGCTCCCGCATAACTCGGAGTTAACTCTGAGTTTGGTTAGAGAAAGAGAAATAGTGTGCCGATGAAGAGGTACAACTAAAAGTCCTTCGGGGTACGTTTTGCTCCGAGTTTCAGCAAGCATGAAGAGGGTATCGTTGTGTACCGCTGAACAGCAAATGTTGAAATTTTGTGGAATGTCGGCCCTGAGGATTATTCGACGTGCTGATTAATACGATATACATCTTTCGCCATTCGCCCACATCGCACAATTACGATAGGAATACGGTAGTTC